TCGCGTTGTGATGACGTCACATACGCGATTTCGTCGACCGCGCTTTTGTGGAACATGCTTTTGACGGGTCACGTGACACTATTTGTACATTCTATTTTTCTACCTAAAATCATATCCAAGCTAGTTAAATTCTAACTGAATGCTTTCAAACACAAGGCATCTACAATTCTCATTGTTTTCTGAATATCTTGCAGATGGTTTGAGGGTAGGTTCTTTCATTTGATTACACAGGAAGCCAGTAAATTATGGCAGCACAGGCATGGCTAATATGATCTCTCAAATAGAAACCGATACTATTCTTGTTTAATTCAACTAGACTTATTTATAACTGTTTCATAGTGAGACATTACTGTTATCAATTTTTCTTATAAAAAAATAGACCTACAATTGTTCTTATGGAAGCTTTAATTTATCTTCTATTTATGTACCGTATTTTTATGTATTTGAACAAAATAGGTAATTTTATTGCCCTCCTGGATCCAGCCACGGTTAGCCTATTTGAAGTATTTCTTCTTTTTTGTGGATATGTATTGTACTTTACCACTCAGTAATGTAATATCTGAAGGGCTGATTTCTATAATTAAATGACATACGACAGGCCCATTAAAGGGCCATGTGGCCACTTAGATGCAGACCTGACTGCTGGAGATATATACAGAGCCTTGGAAGAGAAATCAAAACTGGTCACATGAAACCAAGTCCTTCTACTTTAAGACAGTAATAACCTTATTTCAATTCCTTGTAGCATTGACTAGATGTCATAGACCCACGTCTTGCTGCAATTAACTTATCAATTCCAATTTTCTGTAAATGAATGTTGAAGATTCATAGACTTTATACTGGACCAACATGTTCCACTCAACATCAAACGTGGAACTGTAAATATAACAGCATTGCTGAAACTATTTTGCGGCTTTAAGGTGAATTGGCTATGAATTATAATAAAAACTGATCTTAAAGAAAAACTATTTAAGGATGCCTGGACTAGAAACTCTGTATAAAGCAATAGAGAGAAGGATGGACATACCAGGGTGCACAAATGCCTGGAAACCACAGGTAATTTTATACAGAATGCAGTAAAACTGAATTTAGATTCAAACCTTACAGGGACAAAAAAACAATTTTCTATTTGCAGAGATGTTTTGTGTTGCCTATAGTGACTGCATCGTTTTGCAGACATGTTTTGTATTGTTTAAGAACTTCAAAACCTCAAATACCTTTTCCACTAATCTATTGATAGCATGTTCCAAAAATATACCCTTCTTTGAACTTAGCCATAAATTGCCAAGTCAAAATAATGTAATCATAAAAATTATGATCAGAAATCTAATACAATGAAAGCAGGTTTAGAAAATAGTTTCTATACCAACCCCTTTCTATCTTATCTCTCAATTAGCAGAGAAAGTCTGGACAGAGACACAACTTTTCCATTAGCTTAATCCTTAAAATGGATGTATTATACCAAAGTATTGTTTTGTACTTCTGATTTGTCATAATTGTTCTCAACCGATATCTTGGAAAAATATATATATTTATACCGCCACTTTCTCTTTGATTTACTTCCCTTTTTTAAGCACTTGCCCTTGCTCCTATAAAAAGCACTGTTTTTTTCCAATAGGGTCACAGTGTTACTCACACATTAAACTGCAATGTCAGTGTCAAAGCTAATCTTAAAAACAAGATTAGGTTTAAATACAGGGAAGCCTTACAGAACTGTCTGCTTGCCAAAAGGAGTTAATAGTACGTCAGATAACATTCATTCTCCCGGTATCAGGCATATTTTCTCCAAAATAACACACTTTCTACACAGCGATCTAATATGTCATCTTGACCTAACCAGTGTATCTGAAATATCACTTCAATCAGTAGAAGAAAGCTGGTGAAATATGATTTTTATGGGGTCTCCTTTCACCATCTAGAGGAAAATACAAGTTGGGATGGTTTCAAGCGTGGGACTAGTTTGAAGCCCAATTGTAAGGAGAAATGAAACAGCACAAATATTCCTTATTTTTTGGCATGTTAATTCTGGAGACTGTAGGGATGGTGACATTCCATGCTGGTACATGTTTAGGGGGCAATAGCTTGAGTACTCCACTTTCCTTCTCCAAGAGACGGAAGGAGAAGGAAAGTGGAAGGAAATGGTCTACCAACGGAGAAGTATACAGAGATGTGTGCAAAAGAACAGCTTTACATCAGTTCTTCCTCTTCCCCTCCCCCACCACGGGGACTTTTAAGGCAGCATGAGTAATTGGATCATAGCCAAGCTCTTACTATAAAAGGAAGATCCTTCTGCACCTGAATATAGATAGATATATGAAGAAGACCCTTCCATAAGGAAGAGGAAGTTGCAGGCAAACAAGAGGAGACATCATAGAGGGAAAATGTCATTTGAAACAAGAATCAGCTACACAGGACTGACAACTGCACCAAAATATTATCTGTGCCAATTGATCGTAGTGTAATTGTGCACCAATTACACCAATGTGTTTCGGAGTGCATAATGCATTGTGGAAGTGCATTTTGTCCTTAATGTTGTGTCTTGATATGCTTGCTTTTGAGAAACCTTATGGTGCAGTTACTTTACCTAGACCTACATTGTGATGTAAAAACTCTGGGTTTAGATTAAATCAATTGTCAAGATGATGATTTCATTATTAAATTATTTATATTGGTTTGAACAAAACATGTTTTTCCTATTAGGGCTCTTATTTTAATATGCAATTTATTAGCACCACAGTATTACAATTACTGTTAAACATAAAGATAAACAGAAAACAGAGACATTTCTCTGTATAGCATGTTCTATCATTTTACTATTTTGAAACTGCCATTCTCTTACTCTGCTTAGGTGGGCAATATAGTTACTCTGGAATGTGTCACCAGCTCAGATGAAATGGAGAGACAGCACTGTCTGTCTGTCTATATCCCTGATATCCATTCTTAAAAATATGGAGGACTCCTGAATTTAAAGGTACAGTATTAGCAGGACTTAATAAATGACTAATATGACTAATGACTGAATGACTAATAATAATAATAGTGCACATGGCTAAGCTAGAGTGAAAACAAGAAGTTGCTTCTTACCTTTCGCTGTTTTACAGAATCCAATTTTATTAACCAATATGATGCCACTTTTGATTTATGGTATTTCCAGTTATCCATTATCTATATCAAAGAGAAAAGAATTAAAGTTAGAAAAGAGAAAGAGGCAGTTTCTAATTAATTAACTACGCATACTATTCATTCTTTCGCTCATTCATTTCTTCTGCTGTCACATGACAAATGCAACTGAATTTGCTTCTCGCCTAGTCGGCTCTTATGAGAATATACATTACCCACCATGCAGGACTAAAAACGTTGTAATCATTAGTGCACAAGTGTGAGGACTGCCTGCAAATTAACCATGAAGCAATAATATCCATGAGGAGGTCAAATTAGCCGATCTCACGAAATCACATGCCCTATGATGGAAAGCTCACCCCTTTTGTACATTCATCATAATGTTACACATACATCTCAGAGAGGTGGAATTTGCAGCTGGAGGTACCTAATGTGATCAAGGTATCTCACCTGCCAGATAAGTTTATCTAATGTAAAAATTACCTTTCTGGATCAGGTCAAGGGCTCACTTAGCTCTGATTGGCAATGGCCAATCATATGCATTCAAGAAACTCACAAACATATTGAGGAAAGCAATCTTCCTCTTTTACTATTGCCCTTTAGCAGATGACATTTAAGATGTGCTATCTGTGATTCAGGCTATAGCCACCAATATTAATTGCTGGATTATCCATGAAGGTGCCTAGTTTCTTTTAAATACCATTTAAACTGAAGACTACTTCTATATCCGATAGCCATTTTGCCTAGATTATGTAAAAAAAAAATTTAAAATCATTTTTCTTTTATTAGTCTTGAATCCCACCGCATATAATTTTAAAGAGGACTCCAAATTCTAACACTGTGAAAAAAAAGGGGGGAAACCTCCTTCCACTTATGTATATTTTCCTTCCATGAATTTGTATAGTTAAACTGTATCTCCCCTCTCAGCAGATATCATCTCATAATAATTTTGATTAGAATTATTTTTTAATTTTGTTTTCATTCTACTGTGTCATCCCTGGGGGTTGGTCATAAAAACTATACCTTGCATTCCAAATTGTTTTAAGAGTGTTGCTGAACAGCTGGTGTTTTTATTTAAAAAATACAGTAATTCTTTTGGTAAAGATTTGAGGCATGGAATTTCCTTTTTATAGAATGCTTGCCTGTTATGTTGATACTTCATTAATGGAATATTTAATAATATCACTAATATGTAACAATAATGTAGGGGAGGAGTTTCAAATATTTTACTCCAATATTTTGCACTTACATTATTTACTCTGAAATCATTTGTCATTTTGAGACTTATGCGTGCTTCTTTGGGGCTCTTTGCAATCCCATTTTGAATTTGCTACCATGAACAATGAACAGTTTAAATATCATCAAAAAAATCCTGGCTATCTCTTGGCTCATATTTAAATAGACTAAAGATGCCCACTCCTCTTCTAAACATTGCTCTAAATTGCGTATATCTATTTAGGAATTAGCAATTGAAAAAGATTCCCATTGCTGCTGAATCTGCTAATGCTCAAGTGGAAATTTCTTAAGTGTTCCTAAGTGTACATTTTTTATTTGTTTTGTTTTACAGCTGTCAATTTTGTAAACAGGTATAGACATGCAAGATTTTGGAAACATAGCATGATGTTAACGCATTTCTTTGCAACATAAACATTCCTTTAAAATACTGCTACTATAGGTAGTTCTGCTGAGTACTATTTCAGTTGTGCCACTAGATGGCACAAATATGTTATTTTAAAAGGAATATGCTGAAAGACTAGCAATATTGATGATAATTTACATGAGAAAATAAAAGAAGTTTCACACACCAAAAAGAAAAAAAAGCAATAGTGCAACAATATTCTAGTGATAAACCAATCAGGATTAGGATCTAATCTTTCCAAAAGTTATTATTAATTGAAAAGCAGTCCTGTGTAGTAGTTATGGAATATACATAAAGGATTATGCGTCATCGTAAAAGAACAATAAGTTGATTGTGGCATACATTTTTGATCTGCAAATCTGCTTTAACAAAGGCATGCAATAATTGAGAGGATTGATAATTGTAGTCCATTATTTTCTGAAAACTTTTTAGTACCTGACTTTCTAGTTTATATTGCAGCTTCCCCAACATGTAAGCTGTTAGTTTGAAAAAAATATATAGCTCAGACAAACAGGTTACATACTATATATTGATAGTAATTTGCCCCAGAGAAAATAATCTTTTCCATTGCCAGATCCCAAATATTTCATGACTTTAGAAAAACTCAAGTCAAGTAGAAAATCCATCCGTATTCCACATACACCGGGCATGCCAACCCACGGCCCTGGACAACTACTAATGCAGTCCCACAAGATCGTACACTTTAAATATCATGTGATTTATATATCATTAACTTTAGGCCACATATATTTTATATGTGGCCTAAAACAATTCTTGTGCATTCAATGCAGCACATGCATGGGCACCCATGATCTACACTGTTTACAGACTGGAATACAGGTAGTCCTCAACTTGCAACAGTTCATTTAATGACCAAAGTTACAACAGAATTGAAAAAAGTGACTTATGACCATTTTTCAAGCCTATGACTGTTGCAGCATCCCCATGGTCAGGTGATGAAAATTCAGATGCCTACCAACTGACTCACATTTATGGCAGTTGCAGTGTCCTGGTATCCCGTGATTACCTTTTGTGACCTTCTGACAAGCAAAATCAATGGGGAGGGCAGATTTACTTAACAATTGTCTTACTAACTGTGGCAAGGTAAGTTGTAAAAAGGAGCAAAGGTCACTTAACAAACTCACCAAGCAACAGAAATTTTGGGCTCAATTAAGGTCATAAGTCAAGAACTATCTGTACTTGTGATGGACTGATTTCAGAACTTTCAACTTTCAACTTTAATAAAATTTGTATGCCGCCCACTCCCTTGGGACTCTGGGCGGCTCACAACAAAAATAAAAGCATTAAAAAATTTTAAAGATACAATTATTAAAATTAATACATCATCCATTCAATCAAATGAGGCTGGATATTAATCAACAGCCCCAGGCCTGCTGGAACAGCCAGGTCTTCGCGGCTTTACGGAAGGCCGGGAGAGTGGTAAAGGTATGGATCTCTGCGGGTAGCTCGTTCCACAGGGCCAGTGCAGCTACAGAGAAGGCCCTCCCTCGGGGAGCCGCCAGCCGGCATTGTCCGGTCAACGGCACCCGGAGGAAGCCCAACCTGTGCGATCTTATTGTTTCTTTGGGAGGTGAATGGCAGGAGTCGGTCTCTCAGGTATCCAGGTCCAAT